CATCATCATCATCATCATCATCATCATCATCATCATCATCATCATCATCATCATCATCATCATCGACACCCTCATCATCATCATCGTCATCGGGACACCGACGGGACACCAGCGGGACACCGGCGGGACACCGGCGGGACACCGCGGGCCACCGGCACCCGGAAAAAAATCATTTGGTCCGGCCGCGCCTTAGCCAGAGGCGGGACTTCGGCGGGCCGCCCAAGGCAACCATCCCCTGGAAAAAAAATCATTTGGTCCCGCCGCGCCCAGCCGGAGGAGACTTTCTTCTCGCCCGCCCACGCAACTTCGGCTCGCCCGCACGCACGGCACGCGCGAACACAAAACCGAAACCGAGTTCCTGGCAGGGGGGCTATCCGTTCCACTTCGACCTCACCCCCACTTGACCGACCACAACCCTCACGATCATCAACAACATCACCAACACTACCCCATCATAGTCAGAATTAGCGAGGGCGGGGGACTCTGGGATGGCGGTCAGGGGCCCGCGCCGCGGCGGCAGTTCGCGCTCTCGCCCCGGCACCGCACATCTTTTTCAAACGCGGTGTTTTCGCCTCGGCGCCTGGCGCATTGTTGGCAGCATCCGGATGGCAATTCGAGCCTCGCTGGGACTGCACAGGTCGGCGGGGCCTGCGCGCGGCGTCCGCCGTTTCCGTCGGGGTCGGCAGGGCCTGCGCGCAGCGTCCGCCGTCTCCTATGATTTCCTGGTATATATTCCTCATGAGGGGTTTCTTAATAAGAATTCCTCCGTAAGCGTTCCTTAATCAAGATTCCACGGTGCAGATTCCTTCGAACATATTCATGAATCGCGAACCCTTCGTGAGAGCTGCTTGATGAACACTGTGCAATAACAATGCCTTAATCGAGCTTCATGAATTTAGGTTCCTTGGTAATGATTCCTCGCGGACGATTCCTTCGCAAAGACTCCTCAATCAAAATTCTGTACTACGGGTTCCTTAACACATATTGTTTATGAAGTACGCCTTCATACATAGTCCTTGATACATATTCCTTCGTAAATGTTCCTTAGTGCAGATTCCTTGCGACGGAGGATTTCTCAATGAGGATTCCTCAGTGAGGATTCGTATGGTGAGGATTCTTCAATGCAGGTTCCTCACCGAGGATTCCTCAGTGTTCACACATGGAGGTTCCTCGATCTAGATTCCCCAGCAAGGATTCCATAATGCATGTTCCGTTTTTTTAGGGACCCCGTAGTGAGGATTCCATCGCATGGGTTCATTGGTAAAGTCCCCAGACCAAGGATTTCTGAATGAGGATTCCTGGGCGATGATTCCTTGGCGATGAAGGCCCACTGAGCATTCTTCAATGCGCATTCCTCAATGCAGATCCCATGAATGCAGAATCCTTAGCACATAGCTATTGCGAGAGATTCCTTCGCACAGATCCTCTAGTGCAGGTTTTTTGATACAGGTTTCTTGATGCAGGTTGTTTTGTTATATACCCCTTGATAGCGATTCTTTAATAAACATCCGTTAATGCAGATTCCTTGCTAATGATTCCTTGGTAATGGTTCTGGTGATAAAGATTCTTCAATAACGCGCCTGTACCAAGGATTGCTTTGTAAATATTCTCTCGCACAGATTCCTGATTGAAGTATCCTTAGTACATCTCCCCGTCGACGGATTCTTTCGCGAAGTTTCCTTACGACGAACTCCTCTGTAAATATTTAATGTTAGGGGCCCCTTCGTCACGATTCTTGATTAAAGTTCATTCAAAACTCCCGACGAAGGATCTCTTATAACAGATTCCTTATCAAGGAGCCTGCAGCAACGATTTCTCCTGCGGATTCCCCCATGGAGACTCCTCGCTAACTCCGAGACGATTCCTCGCCCAAGGATGACATTGTTGTTGCTTTAGAATATTCCTTACTACGGATTTCTGAGTGAAGGTTGCTCAGCCAGGATCCCCCAGTGATGGTTATTCAATCAAGGTTCCTTAGCCATGTAGAGACCATTCAATGCCAAGCAGCGCCTAAATACGCCCGGCAATGGCAAGAGCAGGGCAACCCATTGCCTAGCACCGCCAACTACGACCCACCAGTCCAAGGCAATGCCAAGCACGAAAAACCAATGCTGGTAACCTCGAAGCACTGCCAAGCAGCGCCATGGATTACCAAGCAATTCCAATCAACGCCAAGCACGATTAACCAATGCCAAACACGACCAGCCAATGCCAAGCATATCCTACACGCGCCAGGCAATGGCAAGAGCGGGGGCACACATTCCCAAGCACCGCCAAACATGACCAACCAATGCCAAGCGATGCCAGGCACGCCCATTCAATGCCATGCACGACCAATCAACACAAAGCATGATCAACCAATGCCACGCAATGCCAAGCACGATTGTTCAATGGCGCACGCGACCAAGCCATGCCAGGCAATGCTAAGGTCGACCAGTCAATGCCACGCGCAATCGCGCAATGCTGCGAAATGCCAAGCTCCAGTTGCCAGTACGACGTCAAGCCGACCACGACCATGGCCTCTCGCCCTTTCCTCTCTCTCCCGTTCCCTCCCTCTCCCCTCCCCCCTACCGCACCGCTCCCGCGCCTTGTTTTTTCTCTCTCTCTCTCTCTCACTCTCACTCTCACTCTCACACTCTCACTCTCTCTCTCTTTCTCTCTGGCTCTCTCTCTCTCTCTCTCGCTCTTTTTTTTTTCTCTCTCTCTCTCTCTATCCGATGCTCCCTCCCACTCTCTCTCCCGCTCTCTCTCGATCTACCAGGCCCTCCTTCTCACCCCCACTCGCGCAACGCGCACCTCGGACGTCAATCGTGCCGCGCGTCGGCCCCCCAAAACCGCCACCACATAATCCCCCGTTCTCGAATTAGTATCGTCGCCGCATCATCATCATCATCAGCATCATCATCATCATCATCATCAGCAGCAGCAGCAGCAGCATCAGCATCAGCATCAGCATCAGCATCATCATCAACATCATCATCCTCATCCTCATCCTCATCCTCATCCTCATCATCAGCAGCAGCATCATCATCAGCGGTATCATCCGTATCATTAGCATCGTCATACTTTCGCAGGGCGAAAGATGTTCCTCTTGACGTCAAGAGGACCACCCCCGTCCAACGTAGAATCTTAACACGGGGGGGGGCTTGCGGTCGACGGATCCCATGCTTGTCGGTTCATGGAACGAATTTAATATTATACATTCGAAACGGGGTAGAAATGGGATCCACAGTAAAAAAATGAGGTTCGACGCGGATCCCGAAAATCAGAAATGGGATCCGCGCGCACGGAAATGGGATCCGTCGCGATTTGACGATTACGGTAACGTTGGAAATCGAATCCGTGCGACCCTCATTGGGTTCGCCGCTATGATTTACAAGAGGGCCGTGTACCGCGTGGGACCGTGAGGTTCAGCGCCAAGAGGAAAAAAACTTTCGGCCTGGGGATGTAACCATCGTCGTCGTCGTCGCCATCACCATCATCATCGTCATCATCATCATCATCACCATCACCATCACCATCACCATCACCATCATCATCATCATCATCATCATCATCATCATCATCATCATCATCATCACCACCATCATCATCCCACCACTCGTTTGTCTTTCTGGGGGGCGGTGGACATGCGCAATCCTCTACAGTCTGCCAAGCAGTGCCACCACTACCCCATATGCAGCTGCGCGTGGCGCAGGTCCTGACCCTCTCCCCCAACACTGCGCACCGCGGGGCAGTGTGCATACGGGCGGGGGGGGGCGCGAAGAAAGCGTGCAGAGGCGCGCTGAACTCGCTACGGGGCAGGATAGGCGAGAGGAGTGCCGAAATGGGCAGGGACACGGCGCGAAAGCACCCACTGACGCCGAAGGTGGAGCTCCCTGTGGGGCACGATCGTCGCGAGAGACGATCCGAAATGGGAAAGGCGCTGCCATGCGGACGCACACACTGGGGCCGTAGGTGGAGCTCATATTGGGGCACGATTCGCGCGAGGGGTGTGCCAAGATGGGCGCAGCGCCGACGTACGGACGCACCCTTTGAGGCCGTAGGTACCACTAATGCAGAGCTCCCTGTGCCCCCTGTGGGACATGATCCGCATACAGGGTGTGCCGAAGTGGGCGCGACGCCACCATATTAACGCATCCACTGATGCCGTAGGTGGAGGTCCTGTGGGTCACGATCGGGTATGAGAGGTGTGCCGAAATGGGCGCGGCGCCGCCATGTTACGGTCAGGAACTTGTTCTTGGCGTGTCGCGACGGCGGCACTGGCGACACGCTGTGCACTGCGAGTGGATAGCGTGTCGCTCCGCTCCGCGGGGCAGAATGTCGGGAAACGTTCGAAACATGACCGTTCGGGGACTGGGACGTGGATAGCGTGTCGCACCGAAGCGTGGTGAGCCAGGAACGGCGGAGCGACATGCTGAGCCAACAAAGTTCCGGACCGTAACGCATCCACTGACGCGGTAGGTGGAGCTCCCTGCGGGGCACGATCCATCGGCGTGAATGGTTGCCGAAAAAAGGGGCGCCAGGCCTGTGCGCAAACGCGCCCACTGAGACCGTGGGTAGAGTTCCCTGTGGGGCACGATCCATCCGCGTGAGTGGTGTGCCGAAATGAGAGCGGCGCCGCCATGCGAACGCACCCGCTGATGCGATACGCGGAGCTCCCTGTGAGGCACGGAACGTGTCGGGGCGTAGCAGCATTGCCGTGCGGACGGAAAGCAAAGGCACGTACAGGAGGAGGAGTGAGGGGAACACGGGACACGCGGCCTCCGGAGAGAAAGCGATGGCATACAAGACGAGACCAGGAGGAGCGCAGGAGGAGGGCAAGAGGGGGAAGAGCAATAGTGACAAGAAAGAGGAGCGGCGGCGGAAAGGGCGACGACGACGACGACGACGACCCCGACCCCGACCCCGACCCCGACCCCGACCACGACCACGACCACGGCCACGACCCGGACCGCGACTGCGACCGCGGCGACCACGACGCCCGACAGCGCCGCATCCTGACGGCCTACTACCCGGCCGCGGGCGACTCTGCGGCCGGCGCGGGGACGGCCGCTGGAGCGGCGGCGGCCTGCCGAGCGGGTCCAGTCGGGGTGGGGCGAGAGCGGCGCCGTCCGTCCGTTCGTCCGTCCGTCCGTCCATCCGTCCCTCCTCCTCCGCTCCTCCGCCTCCTCCTTCCTCCCTCCTCCCTCCTCCCTCCTCCTCAGCTGCCGCCCCGGATCGAGAGGCTTTGGGCGCCGTACCAGGTACGGCGAGCCTCTCCCGGGCGGCAGGCAATATGCTCAGGCCGCCGCCCCGCTTGCCGGGCGCGGGCAGGCTGGCCGTGCAGCCATGGGCCATGCCTCGAGCCTGCCGCGCAGCACGAGGCGACCTGGTTTGGCACCGCCAGGCCCGCTGGCTGCGAGGCCAGGCGCGCACGCTGCTGCGAGTCGCCGCTGCCAGGTCGCTGCTCGTCATGCACCACAGTGCCATGGCTGGCCAGCACGGTGGCAAAGGGGGCCAGCGCGGTGGCAAGGGCGGCCAGGCACACTGGCCAGCGCCGCACCCGCCGCCGCCACAGTGCTGGTGGTGCCCGCAGTGTCATGGCGCCAAGTCGATGGCGGACAGGCTGTGTAGGATGTGCTACCCGTGGCCGCCCCAGGAGGCGGCTGGTCGGGCTGCCGCGGCCGCTGGAGGCACGCCAGAGCGCCCCCACAGAGAGCACCGCGCGCCTTCGCGCAGGCCGCGGCGTCGTCGCGGCAGCCGCGAAGTCCCCGCCCGCGGAGACGGCGCGGCCGGCAAGGCCTCCTCCCCGCGGCCCCCGAGCGGGGAGCCAGCAGAGGAACCATCTCCCAGTGGCGCCCCGGGCGCCAGCCGCCCCAGGCGCCGCAGGGCCACCTGCTCCCCAGACGTGACGTTCGAGGAGACGGAGGCTGAGGGTGGCGGATCTGCGTCCGAGGCCGAGAGCGGCGTTCTCGAGTCTCCGGGCGTCCTGCCTGCGCTGATCGTGGATGCCAAGCAGCGCTGCAACTGGATCGAGCCGCCGTCCGCCACCGACGACATGGTGGACCACAGGCGCAACCTGCGCCGCATGGCGATCGCGGCGGCCAAGAAGTTGCGGGCTTCACGAGCGCTAGGGCTGCAGGGGGCGGTCCTTATCACCCAGGAGAGGGAGCACGCTGTGCCCACGACGGTGATTATAGCTGCTCGCACGTCGGACGTGCGCATAGAGAGACAGAAGACCTTCGTAGAGAGGGCCAGCAAGCGCGCAGCCAAGGCCGACATAAGCTCGCAGGAGACGCACCGCACCTACCTCGACCTCCAGAAAGCCAAGCAGCAGCGAGATGACGTGTTCTTCCGTGCGCAGTTGCTCCTTACCCAGCGTGAGGAGCTGTTCCCTGCGCCCATGGAGGAGGAGTACATGCCGCCCACGCCGATTGCTACTACGGCTCCATCGCGGCGCGCGCCCCCGCCTCCTGCTCCGTCCCAGATGCAGACAGGAGCAGTGGCGGCCATCGCGGAGCTGCAGCAGGGCCAGGTCACCATGGCCCAGCAGCTCGCAGGCTTGGCGACGGTCTTGGGAGGGTTGCAGACGGCGCCCTCTAAGATGCACGGAGACCAGGCTGCAGCCGAGCCCGTGCCTGCTGCCCCTGCCCATGCTGGTCTTGCCAGGGGAGGTGAAGAGCGCGGCGTAGGTGGTTAATCACGATGGCGACTGCCATCACAGTCCTCACGTCTCGGATCCGACCCAAGGCGAGACGCAGGGCGCGGGCTCCACGCCCACCTCTGGCAGCCAGGAGACGACGTTGGCGCAGCAGGCGGCGGCCTACATGCTGTCCCAGCAGCGGCAGGCCGCAGAGGCAGACGCTGCGAAGGCTGCTGCCGTTGCGCGTCAAGCTGAGCAGGCTGCCGAGCAAAAGCAAGAAGGCCGACTGGGCGACCTCGCAGAAGACCAAGCAGGAGCGGGCTCGGCTCGCCGCCGAGGCGCGCGCGACTCGAGCTGAGGCAGAGCGCGCGACGCTGCGAGAAGAGGGCATGGCAGGCCCTGGCCAGGCCTCCATCGAGGCGGCGCTCGCGGGCAGGACCCACGGCAACGCTGGTGCAACCGTGACAGGCGTAGCCAGCGGAGGCGCCGTCCTGGCTTTCTCTACACCAGGGGCGCCTCCGCCTGCGACCCAACCTTCTGATGTTGCCCGTCGTGTCGTTCTTGGAGAAGACAAGCCGGGGCCAACTGGTCGTGCTGAGCCTCACCACCGTGGCTCAGGTGCGGGCAGCAGGGATCGCAGCCCAAGGAGAGGAGATGCCGCCCAGCAGTTGGCTGGTCGGCCAGATGCTGACGCTGCCTAAGGTTCGGACGGGCTCTCCTCAGATGCGGGATCGATTGCTTCGGCGCCGGGGTGAGCTTGAGGCGGGAGGAGAACGACGCCAGTGGGGATCAGCCGCTGAGTGCGGCTCTTAGCGTGCCTCCTCTCGCCTATGATAATAATCTAACGCCGTGCACCAGTTCGCTGCGCACAGGTATCTATAATAGTCGGTACCCTAGAGACCCGTCTCAGACACAACGCATGGCGCGTTGCCTTCAGCTACCATGCACTGACCTCGGCTGCAGAGACAAAGGGATCGCATGGTGTAGGTCTTTGGATCAACACGGACATGGAATACCGGGCATAAGACTTGCGCGCAAGAACGTACGTGTCGTCATATCGCATAATGATCGACACATGCTTGCTGCAGTACGCGCGCCTGCCCTCTGCGTCGATGTCTTGGTTTCCCATGCGCCACGCTCTCGCACGGATTTGGAATCGACTGCCGAATGGTGGAATAGATTGTGTTATCACGACCAAGTGCTGCTCCCTCGCACTGCTTGCTGGATGCAAATGCCACGATCGGTCCAGAGAGATCTGAGTGCGTCGGCCCCATCGGGGCAGAGGCGGAGAATGACACTGGTGAAATGTTTCATCAGTTCATGCACGCTACCGAGCAGGCGGCTGCGCCCACGTTCTCGGAACCATTCTCGGGCGTGCATGGTACTTGGCTGCCACCGGGTGCCAGTCCGCAGGATCCTCGGCACAGGATAGACTACGTCACCGTGCCTCAAGCCTCTCTCTTGTCTGTTGGCCAGCCAGGGGTGGACCCAGCAGTGGAGTTGTCGGTGCGTTCGGACGATCACATTGTTGTCATGGCAGATGTTGTCGCTAGTCAGTCCCAGCCGTTCGTGCCAGCCACAAACTGGGCTAGGATCCGACGCGACCCGTCAAGATTCTCGGATCCGATTTGCGCCGCTCGGCTTGCACAGGCGATCAAAGCATGCTCCAACCCGTATTTGAATGTCATCCAAATGACCATGTCCAGCAGCTCAATGAGGAACTACGCCACGCAGTTGAGGAGTGATTCCCTCCACGGAAGTCGCCGCTTGGTCGTGAGCCCAAGCAAACGTGGCTATCAGAGCACTCGCTCACGCTAATGGGCCGACGGGCTCTAGGACGTCGGAACCTCAGACTCTTGCGTACTAGGCTCAATCAGGTTCTCATGGCATGGATGTTCGTGGCACGGGCGTCGGATGGGAAGGAAGGCTGAGGAATGGTTCAGTTACAGAGGAGGCAGAGCATGGCAATGGTCTGTGCGCGAGCGCCCCTCACGCGTGCTCCTAGTCAATGCGCGTGATGCAGAAGCACGGGCAGGGCCGGCAGCGTCAGAGGCAGCGACCCACTTCTCGCACCCACTTCGGGACAGCAGAGGCAGAGAGTTCCCTCCACCCTCCACAACCGAGCGCTTTGGGATCTATGCAGTCTGCCCAGCAAATCACAAGATGCGTTGGATTTGGGGGCCCCAGCTTGCCCATTGGTCGGACTAGCTCGGGGAATCTTGCAGCTGTAATGAGGCCTTTCCAGGGTCTGGCACTGGCAAGGCTTTCTCTGGGCGTTCTCTTATATTTTTCTTCGGGCGACAGCTTTCGTCATCCAGAAATCCACCTCTCTGGACTTGGCAGCCCGCAGTGACGAGATTGTCCGACTGATCAGAGACTCGCGTCAGTCTTGGGGGGCCTTTGCCGCACTCAGAAGGCTAGGCGCAGGCTCACGTAAGAAGAAAGTCAACAAAATTTTGCCTATCCTAAACGATGTGCACGGGTTCCCGGTAGTCTCAGCAGGTCAGGCTGCCAGGAGATGGCAACAGCACTTCGGGTCGCTTGAGCTGGCGGCAACATTTGACGTGCAGGACATGGACCGATTTCGAGAACACTTCGACAGAACCTCGATCGCCTCCCTCTCCGAGTTCCAGCACTCTTGCAGGCAGGCAAAGACGGCGGCGGCAGGATGTGACGGGCTCACAGAAGGGTTAGTCCACACCTTTGCTGCTGAGATTGCCGAGCCATACTATGCTCTACAGCTAAAGTGTGCAATTACGTTGGTGGAACCACTGCAGTGAAAGGGGGGATTCTACGGAGCCCTCCTCAAGTCTGCCACAGCCGACCCGACGCCATGCGCCAACTCGCGATCGATACTCGCATCGTCCCAGGTCGGAAAAGCGTGAGAAGGTGTCTCCGAAAAAGGTTGCTTCCCACACTAGGAGCCACGGCAGGAGAGTCACAGTTCGGAAGCATCCCCGGACGTGGCAAGGCCCATGCTTCCCTGCTGATAAGATTGGCACAGGCTGTTGCGTCGGTCCGCAAACTGTCTCTAGGAGTGCTGTGCTTGGATGTGGTGCAGGCATTCTACCGGACGTTGCGCGAGCTGTTGCTCCGATCTCCGCTCGACGATGATGCTGCTGCTTGCATTGCACGTGCTGCGGGACTGCCCCACGAAGACTGAAGGAAGAGGCTATTATTCTGAAAGCACCCTCGACGCAGGATACCATCGACTACCATACTCTAGATCAGACGGCGCAATGCTATCAGACGCCCTGGTTCCTGTGTGAGGGTTCCCAGCAGATCTCCTTGCCCCAACGCGCGGTGTTTCCTGGACAACATTTGGCAGATGTGTTGTATGAGGTTCTCATGGCGGATTGCATGAATGAGCTTCGGGACATCCTGGTATCGGAAGGTTTGCAAGTACATTTGCCTGTTTATGAGTGCAACCGCATGCATAGTGTGTT